TAGAGAGAGAGAGAAAGAGAGAGAGAGAGAGAGAGAGAGAGAGAGAGAGGAGATGCCCAAGGGAAGGAGAAACATTGCTGACTTTCATATCCAGGCCCGCTGTTTGATGCCCCCTAGAGCCCACTGCTGGACACTTGTAGGGTCCAAATATGGCCTGCTTTAGGCATCTTGAGGCAATGCACCAGAGACAGCTGGGCAAGGCCACCCAGACACTTTGAGCAGGAGGAGTTTGAAAAAGCCCTGGGATGCCCCCATTAGGCCTGCACCCCACTCAATTCTCAGTCTTCCTCTGTGCCGAAGCCTTATCTTCGTGGTACAACTGTAGCAGCCCACCCCTTGGTAAGGGCTGCCTAGCAAGCTCCTTTGGAGGCTGGAGGTCCTTGAGAATCTGACACCCACCCTGAGCTTCTGGGTGAGGGGCACAGGGAGCAACTTAGACTAGCTTTGAGCTAGGCCAAGGACAAGGAGGTACCAGGGGTCTTGAATTTACGGAGACCTTTGATCTCCATGCTGTGTAGACTTTTAAGTTTGTGTCTTAGCCAATTTACCACTTTAATCTTGTCCCAGCTCCATTAGGTGTTCCCTGGAGATGAAGACATGACCTGTGACCTGCCGAGAGGGGATAGGGAGGCTGCACTTAACTCATCCTTGTGAGCATCTTTCCAAAGGATAGATAAGCAAGTAGTGGAAGGTGTTGTCTCACACGAGAGTGAGCTTCCCCAACAGGCAGAGTGTGTAAGCAGAGCTTAGAACATGTGGACAAAGGGCTGGAGATATGGCTCAGTGGTCAAGAGCACTGGCTGCTCTTCCAAAGGACCCGGGTTCAATTCCCAGCACCCACATGTCAGCTCACAACTGTCTGTGACTCCAGGATTCACCACCCACACACAGACACACATGCAGGCAAAACACAAATGTACACAAAATAAAAATAAATAAATTATTAAAAAAGGACATGGGGACAAAATAATCTTGTGTTTGTCCCACTAGCACCACACTGCACACTGCCACCACCAATCTTTCCCATTCTGCCGTTACTTATTATGTGTCAAGTAAGAGGAGTGCCCACATTTTAACCGTTTGCTTGCTTCCAGTTATTGTGTAAAATGAGGAGCATGTTGGCTCTTTGGATGATTTGCTGCTGCATTGTGGCTGTTTTATGGATTTGTCTCCAAACAATATGTATTAGTTCTCCTCATTTCAATTCTTTGTGTGTGTGTGTGTGTGTGTGTGTGTGTGTGTGTGTGTGATCTCTGGCCAATCCAAGTCAAGCAAGGAACTAGATGACACATAGCAGGTATGGAAAAAAAAACATGGATATACCAATGTCTAAATGCTATCTATATGCCTGGCCAGATGTTTTTTTAGATTGTCACCTGCAGAGCCACTAAGGTGACTACTGGGTTAGCCAATACTACCTCTCCAGATATTGCTTCCCGGTTTCCCACAGCCAAGCTGAATACAGCTGGTGCCACTAGGGCCTCCTTCTACATTCTGTGTCAAGCTGTATGCTAGCTTGTGAGTAAAACAAGAACCAGCTCAGGTTTGTGACCTGAGGACATGAGCCGCTCAAAACTCTTGAGAAGCCATGCAGATGGAGAAAGGGTCTGTGGGGGATCAGAGCCTGGAAGGGTCCCAGAGCCAAGAAATCTACGAGGCAGATGTGGGTCTGAGTTATCTTTGAAGAAAGGTGGGATGGAGTGGTTGGAGGAAGAAACAAGAAACTCAGAGCTGGAATGAGGTGGCAGTAAGTACCAACAGAGTCAGGAATGCCCCTGATAGTCTTGGGCGTTGGCAGACTGGCCTGGCTAAAGCCGCATCGGATACATGGGAAAGCCATTGACTGTCTAGAGCTAGAGACCTGGAAACAGAATTCAGAAATTAGGGTAACCAGGGTCTGAAAATCAAGAATCCAAGACCAAAACTGAACACCCAGTCTTGTCCAAAGCTGTCCCCTCGGGTGGCTTAAGAGATGGTTGTTGTTGTTGGTGGTGGTGGTGGTGTTTTTTGTTTTTGTTTGTTTGTTTGTTTTTTGAGATAGGTCTCTTGTAGTCAAGGTTGGCCTCAAACTCGATATGTAGTAGATGATAACCTTAAGCTTCTGATCCTTCTGCTTTGATGTCTCAGTGCTGAGATTTCAGGTGTGCCCTACCATGCCGTGGTGCTGGGGATTAAACTTAGGGCCTTGTGCATACTAGGCAATCATTCAACCAGCTGGGCTTCAACACCAGTCCCAAAGTATTTTCCTGTTGGGAAACAAGATTAACTCTATAATGAGGTGTGGTGATGCCAGGCTGTAATTCTAGCACTAAGGAGATGGAACAAGAGGCTCAGGAGTTCAAAATTATCCTCGGTACCCAGGGAGTTTGAGGCCTTGTGCTACAAAAGACAATGCCTCAAAAGAAAACCAAATCAACCAAAAATGGGCCGACACAGAAAACCAAGCCCAGAGCCCAAGTTTGCTTGAAGCCTGACTCCCAGGACTAGAATGACTTAGCTGTCTGGGGTTCCCCAAACCAGATCTTGAACAACGTCTGTCACTTTCTGCCTCCCAGGCATCCTGGGATGAGACCGGAGTCCTTCGGCGCTGTGTACCCACCAAGCCTGGGAGGGTACATTCCCATTACCCTCTGATACAGGTGGGATCTTAGCGTCTAGCCGGACCCAGCTGTGCCACGCTGCTGGAAGGTGGAGCTGTGGTGCCTGTCTGTGGTGGTGCCAGCAGAGCCAGTGTGTAGGCGTTGCTGCGCCGGCCTGTCGCGGAGCACGAGCCTGCCAAGGAGCCGGAGCGCTGTGCCGCGTGGAGGGTGTCAGGGGTGGTATTGTCGGCACACAAATGCTCAACTTTATGTACTTTTAACTAGAGGTGTAACAGATGGCCCCGTTTCTGTCCAAGCCAGGGAGACTGGTGCCCATTCCGGCTGTAGCCAATCAATCGCGCTACTCTGGGGGGAGCTACAAGCTGGGCTGGGAGGCCTGGAGCCAGCAGCCACACAAGGCTGTCTGCTTGGGCTGCCTCCGCCAGGCGCTCATCCATAGGCCCGGAGGTAGGAGGGCAGGCGAGTGGCAACCCTGCCTGGAGCCTGGACAAGGCCTGTCAGGGAGGGAGAGTTTGAACCCACATACCAGGTTCCAAATGGCCAACGGAGATGGTCAAGTCCCCAAATGACCCCACTTGGTCCTTGCTCTCTCGTGGTTCCTCCTCAGAATCTAACCCCACAGATACAGCCTTGGACATTGCAGAGCAACAAATGTACAGTGCCGTGCACTGTGAACATCATGCATTATTTGAGAATGGGAGAAGACAATTTCACCATTGAGAGGAATAGTCATGAGGCCATATAGGGCATTTAGAAATACCTATGACAGTGAGAGAAAGGAGAGAAACAGTCCCTGATGGTCCCAGAGTTGGAAAAACTCAGGTAATGCATTATCTCATTTTGATTAAAATTATATATAGTTGTTGTTGCTTTGGTTTTTTGAGATAGGGTTTCTCTGTGTAGCCATGGCTGTCCTAGAGCTCACTCTGTAGACCAGGCTGGCCTCAAACTTAGAGCTCTGCTTGCCTCTGCCTCCTGAGTGCTGGGATTAAAGGCATGTGCCACCACTGCCCGGCTTATATTTATATTTTTAATATACTATTTTATTAGTTATTTCAGACTTTCATACTGGGGTCTCATGTAGCCCAGGCTAGACTCCAACTCTCTATGTACTGAAACTTCCTAGGGCCCAATTCCTTTCTTAAAGATAAATAGCACATATTTCTTTTCTTGCAGACAGGGGAGATGGACGAACACATAGGTTAACTGGAGCAGTGATCTGGGACTCACACATCTGCAGACACTCAGAACAGGCACTTTGTCCTGTGAGCTGCAGGAAGGTGCCAGCTTGTCTTCCTCCCAGCTTGTGGAGTATGGGTTTTCATGGAGAAGGGCACCTGATGGGAAGGCAGCGGCACACACCTTTAATCCCAGCACTCAGGAGGCAGAGGCAGGCAGCTCTCTGAGTTCATGGCCAGCCTGGTCTACAGAATGAGTTCCAGGGCATCCAAAGCTACACAGAAGAACAGATGGCTCAGTGGTTAAGAGCAGGGACTGCTCTTGCAGAGGACCTGGGTTCAATTCTCAGTACCCACAAGGCAACTCATAACTGTCTATAGCTCCAGTTCCAGGGAACCTGACACCCTCACACAGACATACATGCAGGCAAAACACTAATATTAAAAAATAATAAAACAAACAACAATATTACTGTCTTTAAATCAGATGATGGCACACAGCTTTAATCCCAGCACTTGGGAGGCAGAGGCAGGTGGATCTTTGTGAGTTCGAGGCCAGCCTGGTCTACAGAATGAGTTCACAGAATGAGGGCTTTGCAAAGAAAAACCCTGTCTAACCCTAATCCTCCCAGAGGGAACTGCCTGGTGATGGTCAAAGACTGGACCAGTGTGGATGGGAGAGAGGTTTGGATGGGAGGAGAAGCAGAGAGCATGGAACTAGACAGGAGAGGGGACCAATCCTGGCCCTTGGTCACAGCTTGGCAACCTGACATAGTACAGTTCATTTCCAATTGTCCTTCTGGTTCCCTTAGACTACATCCTAGGAGCAGAGTGACTGATTCCCTTAGACTACATCCTAGGACCAGAGTGACTGATTCCCTTAGACTGCATCCTAGGACCAGAGTGACTGATTCCCTTAGACATCATCCTAGGACCAGAGTGATTGAAGAAGGAGAGAGTTGAGAGAGCATCTCAGAGGCTAGACTAGAATTCCGGAGCAAACCCTGACCTGTCAGTCCTTCAGGGGACAGCCTAGTCCTGGCCCTTCTACTTTTCTGGGCTGAAGGACAGGGCTGTGACACAGCAGACCACTGTACATGTGGACTTCTGAGCCTTCTGCAATCAGCCCTTCCAAAGGTCCCCGAGGAAGGGCATGGATGACCTTCAGTCACCAACCAGTAAGCATCAGCTGTGTTCAAGGTCAGGCAGGAGAACGGAGCAGCCAGGCCACTGTCCTTGGCTGTGAGGGGTCTAAGCCTAGACACTAGAGGGTAACAGTAGTCTGGGCAGGTCCCTCTCATTGCAAGACATAGGGGCCATCCAAGCAACAAGAAGAGAGCTGTTGGTGGCTATGGTTTGGAGTCTATGGTTTGTCCTTGGAAGTGGGTATGGAAGGCATGAAGGGACAGAGAGGGCTCTGGTAAGACCCAGGCACTCCGTGGGACCTTCCCCCCCCATATGTATCTCTCCTCATTAGTATTATCAATTATTGTTATTGTTAATTAATAATTGGCAATATTAATTAAATATTATGATTGATTAAATAGTTATTATTACTACTATTGCTATGGGAGGAAAAGAAATAATCCTTTTCATGCCCTGAGTCAGACTCAAGAGTCCATGTTCTGCTCAGTTAATTGCCTTACTGTGAGGTTAGCTAATTTTGCTGTCCCATTTTACATACAAGAACACAAAGGCTCCCGAATGTTAGGTTACCTGTCTGTATTCAAGCCAGGAGATGGTAAAGTCGGGATTCCCCCTCAGGTTGGCCTCCAGAGCTCCAGCTCATAACTACTCTGACCCTCATGAAAGCTTCCCCGGGTTTCCTCATAATTTCTCATAACTGTGGCTTGCATTTGACCAGCCGGCCTCTTTGAGTCTCCCTCTACATCACCTCTGCTAACTGCTCCAGTCTCTCAGTATTTCACAGTTCAAATTCCCAGGAGAGGGAATTGGACTGGCCCAGCTCATCTTTTAATGCCAAGCTACATGGTAAGCAGCCTCCCAGCTAAATAGAGCCCTGTACACTCACAGTTTGGCAGCACTGAGCACGCTAAAGGTAAAAGCAAACTTATTAAGGAAACTCACGGTGCAACAAATGGATGAAGATGCCATCAAGGACAGGCTGTGGCTTGGGTCTTTGAGATAAGGATGGGGTTTGGGAGGCAGAGTGGGAGACGAAGAGCTCTGAAGGAAGAACCAGCATGAATATAGGATGGAGGGGGACAGTGCGAGTCATGGTGACTTGCTGGGTCAATGGACTACATGAGAACACTGCTGGGTAGGCTGAAAAGGTAGGACCTGAAGGTCAGTGAGGTACTGGAATGAGTTTTGTGGTGGTGGTGCGTACCTTCAATCCCAGCATTCAGGAGGCAGAGGCAGGCAGATCTCTATGAGTGTAAGGCCAGCCTGGTCTACAAAGCCAGTTCCAGGACAGCCAGGGCTATGAAGAGAAACCTTGTCTCAAAACAAACAAACAAACAAACAAACACAACAAAAAATAAAACAAAAAAGAAGCATCCTGGTTTAAATATTAAAGTATGTGGTCACGCTGGCCTTGGGGTTCAAGGGCTGTTGCTAAGGTAGGGTCTGTGAATGCGGCAAGAAAGAGTCAGGATGAGGAAGTGACATGGTTTGGGAAAGGACAGATCAGAAGGGCAGAAAGGATAGAACACAGGACAGGTAGGCAAGAGACAGGGCCAATGAAGACCTGGTAGATGTGTTTTGGGGGCTGGGTGGGGAAGAAGGAAGGAGGAAAGTAGCTCCTAAGGGCTGAGCTTGGTTGAAATCATGGTGGAGGGACTGAGATGGAGCTTGCTAGAGCTAGGGAATGGAGGAGGAAGCTTTGGTTATGATAGAGATGGTTCTGGGATGTCATAGATGCTTGGCAGGCAGTTGGACATTCTAGACTAGAACTTGGAGCTGATTCTCCCAAGCAGATGGCTAGTTATAACTAGGGAAGTGGTTGGCATGCCAGAGAGGGCAGAATTAGATGAGAACTGAGCCCAGTTCCTAGGAGATTCCTGTGTGCAGAAAGCAGGAGGCACAGAAGTCAGTGGCGATGGCAAAGGAGAAATGAAGAGGAAAACCAGGGGGTCAGTGGCCTAGAAGAAGGGAATTGCAGAGCTACCAGTGAGCTTTCAGGGGTTATTTGCAGATTACAGTGACAGTGACGGGCCATACTACAGCGAGTTTTGAGCGACAAGTGGCAAAGAACCAGATGTGGGCAGGGTTGCTTACTCATTCAAAAACTTTATCCAGGGGTCTGGAGAGATGGCTCAGGAGTTAAGAGTACATTCTGTTCTTGCAGAGGACCAGAATTTGGTTCCCAGGACACCTATAAGGTGGCTCACTGTAAGTCCAGCTCCAGGGCGTCTGACACGTCTTCTGGACTCCAAGGGCAGCGGCGCTCATATGCATATTCCTCCACATCTACAAAATTTAAAAACCAGCTTTATCAAGGAGAAAGGATGGTGGGAGAGACAAGAGAGACGAGACACAGATGATGCTGATGGAGAAAGTTCCTCCAAAGTTTTCTCAGAAACAGGAGAGAAGAAGGCTAGGTGAAGTTGAAGAGGAATTCTGAGGTAGCCTGACAGGTTTGGGGAGAGGCAGAGAGGGCATGAAGCATAGAGAGAAAGCTTTTGTTTTCCTTTCAAATATGAATTGAGGCCACATGAATAGGCTGTTTTACTCACTTGCTCTGGTGTGTCCAGGAGGGAAAGCCAGAAGAGTGATTAGCAGCAGCATCCCATAAGGCTGGAGTTGGGTAGATGGGCTGACAGACAGGAGGAACAGGGCTCAACTGAGCTGGGGCAAGAGGGAAGGAAGTCAGAGCAGAAGGGGAGATGGGCAGAAAGAGGACAGGGTACCTACAGGATAGTGGATTGGGCTCAAAGAAGATGAGCACAGACCCTGGGATTTCCAGAGCTCCAGATAAGTCACGTGGTTTTGTAGCTAGACAGGGTAAAAGGCTGTTCTCTTCTGGATCCCGACAGCCCCAGAATGGGGGCCGAAGAGGCTGGGTGAGGCAGCTAGGAGCCACATTGCTCAGCATCCCCTGTAAGACCTTCAGGATCCCGGCAGCCCCAGAATGGGGGCTGAAGAGGCTGGGTGAGGCAGCTAGGAGCCACATTGCTCAGCATCCCCTGTGACACAGGCTTTGAACTTTTCTTTTCTTTCTTTTTTCCTTTTTTTTTTTTTTTAAGACAGGGTTTATCTGTATAGCCCTGGCTGTCCTGTAATTCATTCTGTAGATCAGGCTGGTCTTGTATGCACACAGACTTGCCTGCCTCTGCCTCCGGAGTGGTGGATCAAAGGCATGCACCACCACCTGGGAGGTTTTGAACTTTTAAAATCACACAAATGGTATCTGTTTCTTAATTAAAACAAATAAACAAAAATCTGTGGGTCAAAATGGTGGCTCCATGGTTAAAAGCACTTGCTACTCTTGTCATGGATCTGGGTTCAGTTCCCAGCATCCACGTGGCAGATTGCAACCATCCCTAACTCTAATTCCAGGGGACCAAACACCTTCTGGCCTCCTGGCCATCAGACAAGTATGTGGCACACATACATAATGCA